TGTCTGTGAAGAGCTTATGCGCTTACTTGAAGTTCAAAACTGGCCTTGTGGGGTCGCTACTCTACTTCGATGACACTTCCCCAGTTCTGAACGTCGATGGTGGACAAGTGTTGTGTGATGTCCAGTGGAAAGATCCACAAAATATGGTCCAGTTTAGTGCCGCCATGGCCGCTGCGTACAAGGCAAAGGACATGGACCAAGTGGCCTACGAAGAATCGTGCTCGAGCTGCCAGGACATCTTCAAAACTAAAGGTTCTGTATTCGGATGTCGACACCATGCTGGTAGAGGTCGTTTCGCGCTTGGGCAACGCGCGATTCGCGCAGGACTATATCAACTGCATGAGCTGCATCAAGAAACGCAACTTGGCCGGTGACGTCCCGAACTCCGAGTCAATGTGTAATCCGCTGGAGGTGGTGAACATTCGTACGTACCTTTTGGCGACCAACGATCTAATGGCTGGAACCTGTGGACCATGATACTATTCCACATACGCCTCTTTTTGCGTGCGGACGAAGGTGTTGGCTTCAAGTGCAGCCAGTGCCTGCCAAGGTTAACATCGGTGATTTGCAACGCACTGGCTGCGTAAGCCTGGCTGGCTTTTAGGCACTTGGGGCGGCGCATCAGATGTAGACATGCAACACGCATCACGCCACAAGACACTTGAAATGGCTGGTCGCTACAAGCAAGACGCACAGTCCTTTCTTGAGATAGCACGAAATGAACGGTATGAATCCACAATTACGTGTACTAACATCTTGTATGGTAGCGACAATCGAGTACTACAGTACATCCCCAGGTGGCGGTCAGTATATGTTGCTAACTTACAAGCTGCCGCTGGTGTTAACGTCGACTGTTCAACTGCCCACCCTGGCAGCCAACTTTTTTGACGACATGGTGTGGGCAGGTCATTTAGCCGAAGCCGATCATTCAAACCCTATTGTTGTGGCCAATGCGTGCCTCGAAAAACGGGCGGGTGGGACCTGAAGACCGAAGTCGAAGAACTAGAAAAACAACTAGAAAGCAGACTTTGCTGGTGCACGGGCGACATTCGGCGTTTGGTCCAGCTACTTAGACAATATCACTCTTCCACAACCGCCATTGACCCCCCTCTGCAATTTCGATATCGATCGTAACGTGCCAACGCCACCGTCAACCTCGAACGACCTAGAGTCCGAATCATTTTCGATGGACACATCTGCAAACGGTAACACATCATGTACCAATTACAGT